GCATGATTGCTAGTATTAAGTTGGGTGATTTTTGGTCTATTTCTTGGTTAGTATGTTTGATCATTTAATGTTCTCGAGTAAGAAATTACTCACCCTTGTTTTTCCCCTTTCAGGTGATAATGAGTAGTGGCCCAAAGTACTGGTTTTAACGGGATTTATGTTTCGATTTTTAAAACAAATTACTTAGTATTTCTAACATTGGTTTTCACTTGATTTTTATGGAGTTGGATTTATGGTTAATATGAAATGGTTAAGACTTGGTTTATGAAATAAATTATCGGATTTTATAAAAGAATTGTTAAAGTTGTTTATATGACTTGCCGTCTCGGCTAAGTAAGCGAGACGGGTGTCACATGAACAATCAACGTATAAGAGTTGTATGACCAATGAGATGTATATAGTGAAAATAGAAAACTAAATTTTATCTCTATAGTTCGAAGAAAAATGTATTTAGCTACTGTTTTTAAAAATTCATATACATGTTGGTTTTCGCGCTATGCCTCATTTTCTCTGTTTGATTAATGGGAGACTAAATTGTTATAATCGAAGCTTTTGCCAGCACTTTTGATACAAAAATTTAAAATCGTGAATCTTGGCTTATATAGGATCACATATTCTTATGTCCTAATTGTAATTTCTAGTGCCAGATCTATTCAATATGCGTCATAACTTTTATCTACGCACAACCTTTTGTTAATCACTTAAATAAGAGCATAAATTTAAGAAAATAACATGAAAATTGAGGACTAAGATGAGATACCGATGGAAAAGTTGTGTAGAATCGATTAATATGATTGTTTCAAGAATAAAACCTATACTACTTACCTCTCACATGCTCTATCCCACCATTGCAAGCACGATTATATAATTCTAATAAAGACAAGTTTTCATTTTTGTTGATTCTAGTTGTGTTCGAAGAGCTAATATATGATTTTATTTTTAAACTATATATATAATTCTACCTTGTATGGCTTGAAGCAGTCTTCCTGTTCGTTTCTTCCTCCAACTGTAAACGTGGTTGTCCAACTGGGAATTAATGAAGGAGATCCACGGCGCGGAGTTAGATATGACATGAACGGCAGAAAACCAAAGGGAAACTAGACAGACTCCTCATACGCATTCCACTACAAAAATATGTGGATAGCATCAATTAAAATGTAGCAGAAAAGAAAATGACACTATTTACAATTATTTATTTACAAGTGATACAAAATTTGTAGTTTAACATCAATTATTAATTGATGTCATTATTGATGTATTTGGCATCAATTAAGTAAAATTGAGACAAATTCATTTTAATTGTATCATTTAAATTAAATTGATACAAAATAAGAGTTCGCATCAGTTCTTGAATTGATGTGTCTATTAATTATTGTTAGCACCAATTAAATATAACAATGCAAATTTTGTATCAATAAAAAGTGATGCTACCGATGAATTTTTTTACAAACTTTGTTTGTCCCACATCGGATACAAAACATGAGAGAAGAAACCTATTTCTCTATAAAGCAAACCCATCATTCTAGATATAGCCTAAATGTATTTAAGTAAAATTATGGCCTTCGACACATAGTTACTTATGTTGTCCATTTTGGCTTAATTAATAAAATAGTTACATTTTGGAAAAAATAATTTACCATTTAAAATTAATTATATAGTCATACAAAATTAAAAATTTTAGTATCAATTAATCACAATCGATACAAACATAATATCAATTATAAAAGTTGATATAAATATGTAACATCAATTGTTATAAGTGTCACAAATATTTAACATTATTTGTATAAACTGATATAAAAATTAGCTTCACTTTTTATAAACGACACATATTGATATCGGTCTTTTTTATTGATACAAAATGTTAGAATCACCAATTTTAGAATTACTCATATAAATGATGTAATTTTAGTTGTATCAATAAAAAAATGATGTAAACTAATAAAATAAATGATACAATCTATCATTTTTTTTTAGTGTTCCAACCATAACCAACAGGAGGAGATGGGAAGTTGAAGTCTAATAG